CACAGTGCTGTAGCTGCTTAGTCCGCAAGCAAAGGAGCGATTCCAGAACTAACATTAGGCAGCCCAGAATAGAGTTCAGGGCTGCCTAAGTCACAAACTAGACCCAGGCACAAATGTACAATATCTCTGAATTGGCAGCGTTTCTAGCAGAAATACTGCACATTCGTATTGCTTACTCCATGAGCACTTCTAAAAACAGACGTGATCATGGAGATTGGAGTAACTCTTTATACAATACATTGTAAATTTGGGTTAAAATCCCTGATACCATAGACCCAACATATTCTGCAGTACTTCACAGTTATAGAATGGGATACATAACAGCAAGTAATTTATTACTTGCTGTTATGTATCCCATTCTATAACTGTGAAATAATAATGAAATATAGTGATGTCCTGTAGCACTGTTATACTTTTTGCCTGAGAACAGGTACCTATTTTGCACAGACCTTATATTACTACTGCTTCACTCAATGCTAGCACTGCCTACTATATTTATCTTAAATCTCCATAGTCTAGTACATTTTAAGATCATAATAAGGAACCAATTATTCCTTTGTCTTCAATTGTGCTGTTAAAGAAACAATCCAAGCACCATACCTATTACAGGTCACTGTAGTACTAATGTTGCCAGGAGTGAGGCCACTCCCCCTCTCAGTAAATAGTCAAACAGTTTTTGAATGCATTGACTAGTTACATGGGGCCTGTGGCACCACTGTCCACCTGCTCTAATAACATTGGAGATCCAGAAGCTCCAAAGCAGGAGCTTCCATTGGCTCTACTGAGTGAAGTCCTGATCATACTCGGCCAATGCTCTAAACCCTGTATTTCAGGACTTGTTCAGACAGAATGCTTCTGTCTTTCACAATTAAGTTGTGGAGGAAGGGATTGGTGTTGTGATGACTAAACTATAGTAGTTTGGTGCTTGGAGTGTTCCTTTAGAGCAGGGGTCCTCAAACTCCGGCCCCCCAGATGTTGCTGAATTACAACTCCCATGATTCTCTGGCTATCTATGTAATTCAAATAATCATGGGAGTTTTAGTTCAGCAACATCTGGTGGGTCGCAGTTTGAGGACTCCTGCTTTAGAGTTAAATATTCACTTAACACCTTTCCTTTGTAATAGTGTTACAGTTGTGCATTTTCTAGCAGTATTTAGCAGAGACACAGTCTTAATGCACGGTATATAAATTAGGTTCCGCTGAAACGTTTTGTCCAAAACAAAATAGTAGTGTGGGTTGTCCAAAATTAGTCCACGTGGTGTTTTGGCTCAGACGAGTTTCGTCCATGCAATAGTTTTAAAACAATTGCATGAAAATGGGCCAATCAGTGTAATATAAATATTATGTATATGCTTTGCTGTACACTGACAGGCACATTTTCTTGCCAGTTTGTTTACAGATCAAGTGAGGAGTAACCAACAAATGGTTACAGTAAAACATTTTAAAATAGATTTCTATATTAACTATATAATAAATAAATGTAGGTTTTTTTTTTTTGTTTTTTTTTACTGCTCCTCCTTTCGGTCATTTCTCATTTGATCTGTATATAAAACAAACATTTAGTGGCTGATCCGTAATCATCAATCTTTTTTTCCCCCCCATTATTCATCTATTTTTTTTGATGCCACAGACAAAACTCCAAATCACAAATTACACACAACTGTTCATCCTTTGTCTGTTTACCTCATTTGTGATTTGGTCATTTGGAATTTGGACAAATCACAATTAGTTTCAAACCGAATACACAACTCAATTAACTTCTATGTGTACTTTACTAAAGTTAAAGCCTAGATGTTTTCCTTTTTTTTTTTTTTAGGGTGAGAAATGATTTATCAAAGCAAAGTACTCTTTATCCCAATTTTAGTTCCATGCAATCTGTTTCATACCAGTTAAAGAAAACCATGTTTTCTGTATGACTTAAACCCTTTTTTACTCTGTTTTACATAAATTATGCTGTTTATTTTGTTCAGAGCGTTAAGTCACTTTGAAAAGATTGATGGCATGCATAAAAAGCCATGATTGTTACTTCTGAAATACATTAATGGGCTTAGAGTTTTATTTTGTGCCGGCGCTTGTGGATTTAAATAAGGGAATTTGGAAGAATTATGGCAGAGGAAAATGTATGTGACACGTGCAAAGAAGGAACAGAAAACATTTTCGTATGGAACAATTTTGTCTTTTTACCCTGCAGAAAAACCCAATTTGGAAATAAACAATATAACTGCCTAAAATGCAGGTATTTGATTTTTAGGAAGTGAGGAATAATGCTATTTCTATTTAAATGTATTGGTCAGCCATACCACGATAATGCATGATAGATAGATATTCTCACCTCTCCGGGGTAATCCTCTTCTTCATTCTCACGTCCTCTACCAGCGGCTTGGGAGTCTAAGGGTTCTACACAGTATTTTATCTGTTTATAGAACCTCACTCTTCTGGACAAAGATGTCAGATGTCCCACCTGCAATCTACTGAAGATACTCTCCCAACTTGAGGTTTAAAGCCCTAGGTGCTCCTATCACAACTGGGACTACTCCTGCCTTGAATTTTCACATCCTTTCTATCTCCTCTTTCAGACCTTGGCATTTGTTCACCTTCTCATGTTTCTTCTTATTGTCACTGGGTATTGCCACATGAACCACCACTGCAATCTTCCATTCCCTGTCTACCACCACAATGTTTGCATGATTGGATCTGGGAGTCCCACAGGATCTTAGTCCTGTCATTCTCAATTACTCTTTGTGGTATCTCTCATCTAGACAGGTCCAGCACATATTTTGTGCAGGAGTTTCAGTACACAACCTCAGCAACTTGGTTGTGTCTCTCAGTGTATCCTTTCCCTGATATCTGTTGTTATAGAATTATGGTCTCTGTATGTTTACTAGTATGACCTTTATTTATATGCATCCTTGGTCTGTTGCTGTCTGTTGCATTCCCTTAACAAGTTCATCTTTGGGAAATATTCTCATGATGTACTTGTGCATGCTCTATGTTTCATCCAGTACTGTGGTTAAATGTTTGTGTTGAGCTGAACCAAGGGAGGGCTGGCAGCCTTAGTCCTGGGGGGCAAACCCAGTCAAGTGGCCCATTGCACCACCGTATCAGCTCACCATCCACGTCCACCTTTTCCTTGTTTTATAACGGATATTGATGTTAAAGGACCACTATAGTGCCAGGAAAACATACTCGTTTTCCTGGCACTATAGTGCCCTGAGGGTGCCCCCACCCTCAGGGACCCCCTCCCGCCCGGCTCTGGAAGGGGGAAAGGGGAAAGGGTTAAAAACGTACCTTTTTCCAGCGCTGGGCGGAGAGCTCTCCTCCTCCGATCCTCCTTCTCTCCTCCCCGGGCTGAATGCGCACGCGCGGCAAGAGCTGCGCGCGCATTCAGCCCGTCGCATAGGAAAGCATTTAATGCTTTCCTATGGACGCTTGCGTGCTCTCACTGTGAAAATCACAGTGAGAAGCACGCAAGCGCCTCTAGTGGCTGTCAATGAGACAGCTACTAGAGGATTAGGGGGAAGGCTTAACCCATTCATAAACATAGCAGTTTCTCTGAAACTGCTATGTTTATAAAAAATGGGTTAACCCTAGAAGGACCTGGCACCCAGACCACTTCATTAAGCTGAAGTGGTCTGGGTGCCTAGAGTGGTCCTTTAAGAAGTAAGACAAATATGATACAATGTGGTTTAACATAAATTGTAATAGCAAAAAATGTGGTTTAACAAAAATAAAATCTACAGTTTTAACAAATGAACAATGTATGGACACAATACACTTTTAAAAAAATACAGAAGCCAGAGCGAGAAATATCTGTATTAAACTTTAAAACTAAATATTTGATCAAATGGTTGGCAAAAACCTCATCAAGGAAGAACTTTGACGAATAATTTCCAATACATCTAGAAACTGGACCTGTTCCACAAGATCTCTCTCCACTGACATAAGCATTAGAGCATCAAGCAGTTCTTGTCCCATTGTGGCTCGCAGTCGGGTCTTGATGAGTTTTAGCTTGCTGAATGCTCTCTCACGTGACACTTGTGTAAAAGAAAGGGTCAACAGGTACTCGTAGGTGATCGAAAGATTTTCATAAGCTGCAGAATAAAGGTTGTATTTTAACAACCTGTGACAGCAAAGAAAGCACTGCTTGCAAGAACCGCACTTTGATTCCTTTTGTACCTCAACTAGTTTGTCAGTAGGTGGAATCCAGTCATTAATCTCCTCCTCCTTCTCCTCACCCTCATCATCATCAATAATTATTTCCACTTTCTGTGTCTCATCTTCAGAAAGACATCCTGACTTGGAAATAAGTTGGCAAAACTTATTAATTCAGTTTTGAGAGAACATTCATTTACTTTAGCTAACTTAGAAATTCTCTCTAGTGCCCCTCCATCTAGCACTTTGGGATCTGTCCTAATTTTCTGAAACGTGCGAGGATCCAAGTAGTGGGAATCCATGACCAATTGCTTATTTTCTGAAAAGCTCTCTGTCATGCTTTGTATGATTTGGTCCAGAATTGGTCTGGACACACTAGCTCGAAAACATTGCATTTCATCTTCAGGTGGTTCATCATGTGAAGATTCTCCAGCCAAGCGTTTTTTTTTCGTGCCACTCTTCGAACTGGAAGCATAGTCTCGACTTCCAAGGAGTTAAGAACATCATCCATTAACTCATTTTTTTTTATTGCAAAGTGTTCAGCCTTTTGTTTTAGATAGTTGAAATCATTTTTTTTTCAGTTGCTCAACTGCACGTTCAACCATTTGCCATGCTACCTTGAAGTCAAGGCCACTGGTTTGTAGATATTTTGACACTGGCCCTATAACATTAAAAACCTGTAAAAATATGTTGGCTGTTAGGATAATCCTAAACTGACAAAGATTGTGAAAAAGGGATGAGGCCTCAGAAGTGGTTTTCGATTCAAACAAGTTACTCTGGGAAATTACATATAAAACTTCAAGGGTGTCTAAATAAAGAGAATGTTTTTCACCAAAAATCCAGTTAAGGGCCTTTTCTTTTGCCCACCATCTTGTCTCTCCAATTTTTTGTAACTTTAAAAGTTTTTCTTGTCCATGTCTTCTATCCAGTTGGGCTTTCCAGATATTCACTCTTTTGTGGGAGTCTCCAATAAAGGTTGCCAAGCGATTTAGGAGACCAATATAATTTTTTTGCTTCCAATACTTGACAGCAATCTGAGACACACAGGTTAAGGATATGACTATATCACCAAATATAAACCGCAATCTATGCACTTAGTTCCACATATGCACTCCTCATATTTGCTGCACCATCAAATGATTCACTGGCAATTTTTTGGAAATCTAATCCAAGTACATCAAAACAGGACATTAGAAGTTCGTGAAATCCTTTTCTTGTAGCATCTTTAACAGGGAGAATCGCCACAAGCCATTCTTTAATGGCTTCATCTTGCACATATCTCGCAACTATTGTTGCTTGATCTACAATTCCAACATCTTGTGTGGAGTCAACCTGTATACTGAATCGTTTCTCTCCGATTTCAGACACAATTATGTTTTTCATGCTTCGAACTATGGCTGCAAATACTTTCTTTATTGTATTATTGGACAAAAATGTCACAAGAGATCCACATCCAGTTGAATGTTTTCCTGATGTTTTTCTGTCTTTCAATCGCTGTTTTCTTTTTTCACTGTCCTGAACACATTTATCAAGGTGATTTTTTAAGAGGAACATCATACTGTGATAGTTGTAGGACAATTTCAAGAAAGTTCTCATGGTTTATTTCAATGTTATTTAAATTGTACAGCGATTCATTAGTGCCATGGGCATGAAATGGCAATCCCTGCTTTCCGAGCAGTTTTACCATATTAAATATACAGTTTAATACCTCAATATTTTGTAGTATCTCCTTCTTTCTTCTGGAGACTTGAGCCTGATTTATTAATGTGTCAATGCTTCTATTCGTTTTCCTGGTAAAATAAGCACTAACCGCATCAGAATGACTTTTTGAAGATTCGTGCTTATTTGCTGCCTGATAGCAATGTCGAAAATTAGAACAACCATGAGTGAACGAGGAAGAGGAATTAGAAAAGGCAATGCATATGCTGCAAAAAAATGCTTCTAACTTTCGATCCTTTATCTTACAATGCTTAATACGATCCCCATTAGACTTTTTGCGGTAATAAAAGTCGGCTTCTTGAAAAGGAAGATCTGCGCATTCACTTCTGGTTGGCTGATAAGGGTGTTTTTCAACAATACACATTTTTTTTTTTGCTATGGGACATGCAGGAGGAAGACTAAAAGATATTTCTGACATGTCTTCAGGTGTGATACATTGTAATTCAGGAAGGTCTTCAAAAACATCTGGGTCATTCATCTGCGCTTGCTCTCTGCATTCTGACACCAGCTCCTCCTCAATGACCCGTTCTTCTGCTAGCGGGCTCACCTCATCTTCGACCGACATAATTGGCATGCTTGAAGGACCACCAGCCTAAAACAACCTTTTTTTTTTTTTTTTGTCAACCTATTTTAATCTCCCAAATTCTATATTCTAGTAATATGTCATTTGTTGTTGTTGTTGTTGTTCATCTGAGGTTGTATTTACCTAAATGTAAGACCTGCTGAGGAAGAGATGATTGTTATTATGCCCTGATATGTAAAACCATACAAGTCAAAGAGCATGACCATTCTTTTTCCCATGGCTGTACATATTCAGATTTACAATTTTTTTTTCTAGACTTTTTGTCTAGAGCTTACCTAGACAAAATGGGCTGTGGAACTTATTATATGATAGTCACTGCTCATGTGACAGAGGAAATCATGTGACTGGATGATTGACCTATTGTTAATATCCTATGGGTTGTATATGTTAGTATTTTTAGAATGTGTACTCATACATGTTTAAGGCCTAACAGCCGAAATATCATATTGATTTTAGCTTGTTCCAGTCCATATGTGGCGTTAATAAAGGAAACTTCTTATTTTGATTTGACACAGACCTCTTTGGATGTCGAAATGTTGCTCTTTATGTTCTGATTCTCAGATTAATTGGCTACCTGTTATACCTTGAGTGCCTGGATCACATGGTTCTTTCTAACACATTAAACCAGAACTGAGCAATCTGAAGAGTTAAACTACACTAAGCCAAGTCATAATAAATACATCCAATAATAAATAAAATATTGCAAGTAAAACTTGCTTTCACTCTACAACATTTAAAGAGGAGGAAATAAATAATGTTGAATTGAAGTAAAGATGCCTGCTTACAATATACAAAATTACAAAAATGTTAATGAATTTTTAAGCACAATCGGGAAGAATCTGGACTAGAAAGAGTTATACAAGAAGTTAAGAAATATATGCACTTACAGTAAGAGATCATGGGAAATGAACAGACAGACAGAGGACATAAATTTTTTTTGTTCTTGCTATTTCACGTGTGGTATTTCACTTTTGTGCTAAATGGGAACTCCGTGACCATAGCCATCTATGGTCTTTGCTCTGGCACTTTGAACACTAAGTATTTGATCTCTTTGAACATTGTCAGTTGCCTCATGTTGCCTTTAAAACTCACATGTTAATGTTCTAATTGTTAGATAGCTGACACATTGTGCTGTCAATCTTCATAATCAAACAAATGCAACAGCTACGTGTGCAAATGTGATTTTTTTTACCGTGGCAAGATTTACATCCAAACTAATACATTCAAGTAATATTACACAGCAAAAACATAAAAATAACAACTTTTATAGTTTGGTAGGTATTGAAGATAAAGAAGAGAGCTGGAAAAGGAGCATTTATCCACTGGACCACTCGTATAGAGTGATTTGTGGACTGCTGTCTTACAATACAACACTAACTATATATTTTTTATTATTGTATTCCTATTAGCGCAATATGTGTATAAAACATTTAAAATTTAGAAAGGGACTGGACTGTGATGTTACTGTGTACCAACTTGGCAATTTGTAACGGATTCCCAGGCCAAATGTAGTCAGCCCTTAGTCTTAAATTAGATCTGCAAAGATTTAAAAATAATATCAGATAGTATTACCGTATTTTCCGGCATATAAGACGACTTTTTAACTCTGGAAAATCTTCTCAAAAGTCGGGGGTCGTCTTATATGCTGGGTATAGGGTTTCCTAAATGTTGGGGGTCGTCTATATGGCTGCCTACGGCGCCATATAGGAGGTGGCGCCCTGCGCCCCCATCGCCGGCCCTTCTAATGCTACAGCCACCTGATCGCTCTATAGAAACCCTCAGGCGGCTGCAGCACTGCCTCTCACCTCCCCTTCCCTTTGTAGCGTGGGTAGCCGAGCTCCTCTTCATCTTGTCAGTCCGGCCGGGTACCGAGCGGTACAGGAGATTCAGTGTGCACTTCCTGTCAGTCCGGCCGGGAACAGGTAACTGAATTTCCTGTACCGCGCGGTACCCAGCCGGACTGACAGGACGAAGAGGATCTCGGCCACCCACGCCACACAGGGAAGGGGAGGTGAGAAGAACGTAGGGAGGATTGGGGGGTAGTAAAAAGAATGGGGGGGGGAGTAAAAAGAACGGAGGGGGTGAGTAAACAGAACATAGGGAGGGAGGGGGAGTAGTGAGAAGAACATTCTGTATAGTGTATGCTCCATGCCACACATCATGAGTGCACTTTCCACAATGCCAACAAGCTGGTATAGTGTTTGCCCCATGCCACCCCATAAATTCCCCAAATCCAGTTAGCCGAGTCCAGCCAGGTTTAAAATACGGTTGTCACAGCAGAATAAAGGGTTAAGAATTTGCAGTATGTGCATATATCGCAATTAGCCTCCTGTGTGCTAGACCAACAGGCATGGATTATATGCCCAAACAGCCTGGCACATACCTGGGCTTTAAATGCTATTTCAGATTATCATTTTTTAATGTCTTGCTGTGTAGCTCTGTCTGCTCACTGTACATCATGGCTAATTTTTATTTGGTGTGCGTTGGAAGAGGGGTAGTCTTATACGGTGAGTATATCCCAAACTCTATATTTTAACTGGGAAAGTTGGGGGTCGTCTTATACGCCCAGTCGTCTTATACACCTGAAAATACTGTACTTTACTACGAGGTAAGTGGATGCATGGAATACCCTTCCTGTTGAAGTTGTAGAGTTTACCACAGTGAGGGAGTTTAGGCATATGTGGGATAGGCATAAGGCTATTCTAGATTCAAGAGACTAATGAAAGTATTAAGAAAATTGGGCAGACTAGGTGGGCCAAATGGCTCTTATCTGCCATCATATTCTATGTTTCTATGACAGGGCATTGGCCAGACTTGATTTATATAATGACTTAGTCTGTAATAGACAGATTGACAAACATGGTAAATGATCCAATGCAGAAAGGTATTCAACAACATACAGGTTGTTACCTGTCCATCTTTGAACTATCTTTAAATCAGTGAAACTTTAAGGGAATATATCACACCTGCTGGGACATGATTGTCAGAAGAAGATGGACATGCAACTCAAAGCTGCAATATCATAACATAATGAAATAAGTGTGGTCTAGATCTAAGAACTGCTATTACCAGTGTATTTGAACTTAAGGTCAACTCAATAGAAAATACAGAAAAAGTGTGAACTAATGTTTAACATTGACTAAACAGAATATACCAAAAGGATGCTACACTCAATTGTATAGAAAAATAGAAAAATATTAGTTTATTGACACAACATAGTAGGCATGTGCATGGGGGAAAATATTCGGCTCAGCATTCCGAAATTCGGGACTTCGTCAATTCGGCACTTGAACACTTCGGCACTTCGCCACTTCGGCAACTTCAGAACTTCGGAACTCCGGCATTTCGGGACTTTTCTTGCAGCCGCTTGGTTGATAACTCCCTAATTCCCACGGTATTAGGGAGTTATCTACCAAAAGGCTGAAAGACCTAAATTGGTCTTTCAGCCAAATTTACTAATACTAAGTAAAAATTACTTAGTATTAGTAAATAATCTGCCCCTACTCGCTATACCGCAAGTAGGGGCATGTCTATTAAACAGTGAGCAGCCTGTGGCAGCGGGTGGGGGCCCTAAAGTAAAAAAAAGGGTGGAGGACCTATTGTCCTCCCCACCTGCCCCCACCCCTGAGCGGCGGGTGGGGGGCCTTAATAAAAATTGGAGTGGGGACCTAATGTCCTCCCCCTGAGCGGTGGGTGGGGGCCCTTAACAAGAATAAGGGGGGGGGACCTAATGTCCTCCCCCCTGAGCGGTGGGGGCCCTTAACAAAAATAAGGGGGGGGGACCTAATGTCCTCCCCCTTGGCCCCCATCCCTGAGTGGTGGGTGGGGGCCCAAAATACTAATTGGGGGGGGGGGACCTATTGTCCTCCCCCTGGCCCCCACCCCTGAGCGGTGGGTGGGGGCCCTAAACAAGAATAAGGGGGGGGACCTAATGTCCTCCCCCTGGCCCCCACCCCTGAGCGGTGGGTGGGGGCCCTAAACAAAAATAAGGGGGGACCTAATGTCTTCCCCCTGGCCCCCACCCCTAAGCGGTGGGTGGGGGCCCTAAACAAGAATAAAGGGGGGGACCTAATGTCGACGCCCCTGGCCTCCACCCCTAAGTGGTGGGTGGGGGCCCTAAACAAGAATAAAGGGGGGGACCTAATGTCCTCGCCCCTGGCCCCCACCTCTGAGCGGTGGGTGGGGCCCCTAAATGCAAAGCGCCAAAAAAAAAGAATCCATCTCCGCCCATGGAGGACTCCGCGCAGACTGAGCTCTGCAGGGTGGGGGAATGGTTATAAAGCCTTGCCCCACCCTGCAATTAGGCTCAGAGCACTCTGATTGGTGGGTTTAAGCCATCCAATCAGAGTGCTCTGACAGGTAAATGAAGAGACTGACAGGTAAGTCTCTACATTTACCTGTCACATCACTCTGGTTGGTTTGAAATCCACCAATCAGAGTGCTCTGTGTCATTTTACACAGCGTGGGAAAGTTCTTTGGAATTTTCCCATGCTGTGTAATTTGACTTATAACACTCTGGTGGATTAAGTAACCAATCAGAGTGTTATGAGTCAAATTACAATTTATAAGCCTTCCCCCGCCCTGCAGAGCAAGGCTTTAGAAACCTTCCCCTGCCCTGCAGAGCTTAGTCTGCACGGAGCCCTCGCCGGGCGAAGATGGATTTTTTTTTTTGATTTTTTTTTTTTTTTTGATTTTTTATTCTGTCAGTTATTACAGATTTTTATTTGGCCTTTTTTGGGGCTGAATAAAAAAGATGATTTTAGAAGAAAGAAAACATCAAATGGTAAGTTTATTTTTATTTTTACAGGTATTTAGTTAAAGGTCCCCCCTCATTATTTTTAGGGTGAAGGGGGTAGGTAGGAGTTTATTTTTTGGGGAGGGGGTGACTAGGGATTTGGGGTGGGTGCCTGGGGGGGCAATAGGTTCCCCCTTTAGTTTAAAAACCCCCACTCGCACGTCGCGGGTGGGACCTCAGGAGGGGT